TCGGATTGAGCGGATGCTCACCGTGAGAGTCACTGAGGCCAAATTATTCCGCAGCAGGTCGGAGGAGCACCCTCGAAGTCGCAAGCAGTCCCGATCTCATAGCAACTCGACGCCAACGGGTACCGTGAACGATTATTATACTGAGGTTCTACTAGACGGAGAGATCCGCGCCAAAACCGCTGTCAAGTACCGCACGGCAAATCCTTTCTGGCGAGAAGATTTCACTTTCAATGACCTCCCACCTGTCTTATCCCAAGTTTCGATACTTGTGAAGAACCCCAATCCGACCCAAAAAGACTGGTCACTTATCGCGCACGGGTCGTATGCCTTGAATCAGGATAGCTACCCTATGCGTGTGTTGGATGACGTTGAGCTGTCCTCTCATGACGCAACATTCGGAAGAGTAGAACTTCGACTGGATGACTTGGAGCCGGGTGTGGAGGTCGAGAAGTGGTGGCCGATCCTTGATGACCGAGACCAACCCGTAGGAGAGATGCTGATGAGAGCTCGGATGGAAGAAACTGTCGTTCTTATGTCCCATGAATACACTCCAATGTCGGAGCTTCTCCATTCTTTCACCAATGGACTTTCCATCAACATGGCCCATATTCTATCTTCTGAACTTACATTACTATCGGAGGCGCTCTTAAACATCTTTCAGGTGTCAGGGACTACCGTGGAGTGGATATCGGCCTTGGTCGAAGATGAGATTGATGGAGTTCACAAGGACTCGACCGCGAACAGGCTTAGATATACTACCAGGATCCATTCCAATGACACAAGAGAGTCTGGTCAGGATAGAGAAGTCCTTGTAAGGGATTTGGGGCGAACCGCAACCGTGGAGGCCAATCTCCTTTTCCGAGGGAACTCCCTTCTTACGAAGGCGCTGGACTACCATATGCGTAGACTAGGAAAGGAGTATCTCGAAGAAACGATAGGGGAGCGTCTACGTGATATAGACGAGAGCGATCCCGAATGTGAAGTAGACCCTTCTCGGGTGCATCGTTCGGATGATCTGGAACGCAACTGGAGAAATCTCATCTCCCTCACCACCAGTGTCTGGAAATCGATTGCGGGCTCCGCATCTCGATGCCCTGCTGAGCTGCGACTCATATTTCGACATGTCAGGGCATGCGCAGAAGATCGTTACGGCGATTTTCTTCGCACTGTCACCTATAGCAGCGTCTCGGGCTTCTTGTTTCTGCGATTCTTCTGTCCAGCAATCCTGAACCCGAAGCTGTTTGGATTGCTGAAAGGTATGCTTTTTCTAGCCTCCAACCGTTCGATTTCCTCGACTAACACAGTACAGACCACCCTCGCCCTCGAGCCCAACGTACTTTGACACTGATTGCGAAAGCTTTGCAAGGATTGGCCAACATGACTACCTTCGGGAGCAAAGAACCGTGGATGGAACCTATGAACAAGTTCTTGGTGGGCAATCGTGCCGAATTCAAACAGTTCGTGGATTCAATTTGTGCAATACCCGCCGACCGACCAACTCCAATCGTCACGCCCTCCTATGCCACCCCAATTCAAATCCTTGGTCGCTTACCCCCCACGTCACGGGAAGGGTTTCCCAGTCTTCCTTTCTTGATAGATCACCCTCGCAGCTTTGCGATTTTGATTCGGATATGGCTTGAAGGGGCCCCTGAGCGACTTAGTGAGATAGAGGATCTCGACCCGGCACTGAAGAAATTCCATGACATGGCGCTTCACCTCGACCGGCGTACCAAGGAATGTCTGAGTAAAGCCGAGCAGGCGGAGCGCCCAAGTGGAGACCTCGAGGTTAAGTGGGAAGAACTAGTTGACTCTATGGAACGGTCGGTCACATTCTACGAGGAGAGCTCGAAACCCACTACACCGGCTACAGAGACGGCAATTGCGGGATCTGCGTCCATCACTGGAAGTCACAGAAATTCAATCGGCTACTTTGCTTCGCGGCCTTCTCTCCCTCGCCGGTCGACCGACTATGCCGCTGATGGTGATGATGATACCCCTCCAAGCTCTTCCTCGGCTACATGGGACCAGAGTCGTGTGCCTTTCTCGATACCACGGTGGTCGGACACGCGCGATAGCACTGGTAGTTCCAAGAATTCTTCTACTTATTCTCTTGAATATCCAGACTCCTCTAAGGCTCGCAGGTCTAGTATAACTAGGGAGACGACGAGCAAGTACCGATTCTTCGATTTTGTTCCGGCTACATCGAGACGCCGGGCGAGGGACCGAGAGCATGCTCAGCAGCAATCTCGGGAAGAGCTCCGGAATGAGTTTTGACGGGCCACCTGGGCTACCTTTACCGGCTAACCCATCTATATAGCCCTTTCGCAAATTACACCTCACGGTGCCGATACAAGGTGACATGGCTGTTACATGTGATTACCTTATCATCCTTTTGGTCACTAGCTTGCCCCCATGGGGCTTTCTCTTCCTCTTTGAATGCGTTTTTGACTTTGGCTTAGGCGACCGTGGAGGCTGAACTGATCGTCCTTAAAAATTTTAGCAGGCGGCAACGGTTTTGTATAACACGGCGGATCTGTGCAAACAAATCCCTGCATCTTACGGTGTACATTCTTCCTTTTTCCCCTACACATGTGCTCATGACTTGACGCGTTTCCCTTCTACTTCTCCCAATTTTTGGAAAGCATTTGTCATGGTGTTGATACCCTGCTCTGATTGCTGTTTTTGACGTGGGAAGCGAGAGATCCTGCGAGCAACGTTGGATGTGAAATATCATTGTCCTGGGTTGCTGTGAACGGCAAGGGTCTTGTTAAACCAAACTGTTGCAAAGAACAGTGTCTCGATTTTATGTAAATAGTGTCTTTCCCTTCACATTCTACTTTTGGCATAGACGAAATGAGTATCCCATTGACGTGGATAGAACACTACTCCTACTGGTTAAAGCCCCTGATTCATGAATGGTTTATTGGGTCTCACCTGAGTTCTGTACATTCGTTAATCCCCAGAGTATCACGGATGACAGAGACCTAAGGAACGACCAAGCAAAACATGGCATGATTCAGGTATATCCAGACTATTCAGAGAAGGTAACAGAGGTCTACAAACACATAATAAATACAACGCTCACAATGTAGTCAATTCACATCCATAAACAGATTTTCCCGCTAGCTGTGCCACCAGCTATCCAATTCTTACTTCGATGGAAAACAGCTACGGCTGGTACGGCAGTGATGCCGTCGCCTCCGAGTTGCGCCAGCTGGTCACCCGAACTACTGTAGACGTCGACAAAGCGGTTCATATTTCCGATGCAGAATCGTTGGATATGCGATTGAGGGTTGATTTGCCATTGAGGCCGGAGACTATAAGATATTAGGTTAGTCCTTGCTTGCACCTGATAATCGTTACTTTTGGATAGGGGTCATACATGGTAACCCATCGTCCAGTTTGACAGTTGTGCCGTACCACCGTGTCGGGTTTCATTTCTGCATCTGAAAGGGTATGTCCTGGCTTCCAAGAAGCAATTCCCTTGGCGCCAAAGTCATACAACTTCAGACTGTCGTCATAAGAAGATGTCGCAACCTGTCCGGCGCTATTGAATGCCGCATGCGAAACTGACAATCGACTCTGGTGCTCTCCCACAGGAACAGGTTCGCGACGCGATAGCTTCCGGATGTCCCAAAGTCGCATGGTCCGGTCCAAACTAGCCGTCGCAAAATAGTGTGAGTGAGTCGGGAGTAGCGAAAAGCCGCCTATCTTCTTCTCAGACAGACTCCAGACGGCTACCGAGTCTTGCTTGGGTGTGCGCATATCGTATCGGCCAAACTCGCCCTCCAGGGTAGTCCAGTAGAGAGTGTTGGGATCATCGGCTGCCATGTCCAGACCAGACAACGGAACATCATCTGACGTTGAATCTGGGGCATACCGTTCCACCGATGTTGTCTTTTCCAGGTCCATCTCTCGGATAGAGCTGTCGTAACTGGCTGTATATAGATGCGTCGGTTTGGACGGGTGGATCACCATGGAACTTATTGTGCGGGTATGTGGCTTAAGGGTGGTCAGGACTGGGTCAGGGTCATCGTCCTCTTCATCTTCGTCGTCTTCCTGCTTCACTGAGGTCGGCTTTTCCTGTGATGCGTCCAGGATGCCGAGGTGACCCATCTTGTCCCCAGCAAAGATCAATGGCTTGGTCTCTGATGGGTGGAATGTCATGGTATAGACTCTCTCGGGGGTGAGCTTGATTCCTATATCACAGTTAGCATACGAAAGCACACGCTTGCACAGCAAGTGTATATCATACGATTAGGCTCCCAAGGCTCCCACAGCTGCAATTCACTCATCTCCTTCCTCAAAGCTTTCAATTCTTTATCCGTTGTCTTCTTGATATCGTCGTCGCCAAACGTCCGCTGATAAGGCACCGCGACGCCCTTCGTAACAACATCCACACCAAGTAAGCCATCCCCACTAAGCTTTTGGCCCGAAACAAATATATCATTCAGTGAGAATGAATCCGACTTCCTCACCCTCTTGGCCCTCTCCGCCTCCTGATGAGCCTGGTGCTGCTCCTCTGCTTTCCGTTTCGCCACCTCACTATCCGCCGCAATGCCCCTCAGACGTGAGGACATGCGCCGCGGCGCAGGTGACTCCTCTTCCTTCTTGACCTTCTTCGGGGCCGGCTTTTTCTTCGTCTTTGCCTGGGATCCGGTGGCGCGATTTGGCAATGTCGGCGTGAAGAGGGATTGCGCATTTAGCGATAACTGCTTGAGAAGCGCATCGCGCTCCGCGATATTCGCAAGCCGTTGCTTTTCAAAATCGGATATCTCTTCGTTACCCATGGCGAAATGCTGGATATTTATATACCTGCAGGTGTTTGCGCTGGTCTGGATTCGTCCGATATAACAATGGGTTTCTGCGCACCTTTTCGCTGGCGCGGAGAAAGTCAGAAAACGCGCGCAGGTATCGCGCTATCACGTGAGCTTTCGGTGCGGTAATTGGCTTTTGTTCTGCGTTAATCTCCATGCCGAAGTTGCAGATGCAAAAAAAAAGCTCAACATAAAGCTTCATCACCACTGCATTGCTTGACTAATAGACGCTTGTTTTTTCTGAACCTTTCATATCGATTATCTCAAAAGCATGCTCAAAACTTTTACATTTTTGCAATAGAACTGTTTGTTGTTTTTGTCTATGACGATCACTATGAGTGGACATCTTCATCGTTCGTTGCTTGCAGTGACAACACGCAATTCACTCGCTCCGTTCCTTTATCAGACTCGCACACTCTCTGGATCTTTCGCTCGCCCGCTACGATGCCGTTCACAGGCATACTCTACTTCGAGCACCAATAACCCCGAAGATCAGTCCCAGACAGAATCTTCGCAAAATGACAGCAGCGCAAATGCGCCAGCAGACTCACAGTCGCAGACCGAGCACAGCAATAAGCCCACAGAAAGACGAAGTTATTTGCAGCAGCGAGCTGCCACGGCCTCGAGGAATGCTCCCCGCATGAAACCGAATCCTCTTACCATGACCCGCGGCGAGAAACAAGTGTTCAGCGACCTGCTGGAACAACTGGGGGCTGTTCAGAAAGATACAATGACAGCTGAAACGCAGAAGCCGGAGCTGAGCGAGGAAGATAAGAACGAAATGGCGCAGATCTCAGAGATTTTCGAGGAGGTGCTTAAGGACATAAAGCAGAAGAAAAAACGCAAAACTGCGACGACGGGTTCTGCGGATGCGCAATCCGCAGAGACAGATACCCCGGTTACACTTCAGAATCTGGAGTTGCAGGAGAGACTCCGGAAGTCTGAGTACAGCAGTGAGGATATTTCGGAGTTGCTGGAGAGCAGTCAAATATCCATGGATGAGGCGATTGAGTTGGTTGTGAAGAAAGAGGCGGGAAAGATTGAGAGCGCCCTTCGGGCAGCCATTGATGAGGGCAAAGAAGATACGGGAGTTTGGGACATCTGCAGAGAAAGAATATTCTCCATGCTGCAGCATCTCGGGGATGTCCGTCTAGCTCAGGGTCTTGGTATGGGCCAAGGTAAGAACCAAGCGGCCGATGCCCCTCCTACTGCTACGGAAACCTCCCATCTCGAGGTTCCCGAGTCCGTCCCAGTGGAACCCGTCGTCACGGCTCTATATCCCAAAATGCTCCTCGTGGCTTTTCGTCTTCTCAACCTGCATTTCCCCAATTCCCCGCTTATCAGTCAATTCCGGTCCACGATCAAGTCGCATGGCCGCGCCTCTGCCGTTCTGGGCAGTTCGACAGGACTTTACAATGAGCTGATCTACTTCTACTGGCGCGGCTGTCATGATATCCCCGGCGTGGTTTCTCTCCTGCGGGAGATGGAGGTGATCGGCGTAGAGCCCAACCACCGCACGTGCGGGCTGTTAACTGGAATCGTCAACCAGCGTGACCGGGACTTGAAGCAGCATTGGAAACGGATGCGGGACGAGAAGCGTGGTTCGCGTCGTGAGCCGTGGTGGGATCTGGCGCCGAACCGGAAGGCCGTACGTGAGTTGCTCGGACCAGAGGGGTGGATGCACCGGATTGAGCGACGAGTACAGGAACAGAGACCTTCACGGTAGCGCTTGTCACACGTGGCCAGGAAACATGGACATACTGTATATTAAGACAATCACATAGTAGAAACATATAAACACCCACCAAGACCGGACGTAGTAATAGTACAAATCATACAGGGCCACCCATTAGATCTTCAATCCCCAGCTCCTGCCCAGCCCTATAGCCGTCGACCCCACAAATCCTAAACACTGCTTGAATCCGGTCAGTTTCTCCCCAATAGCAGAGCTATCCTCAACACGCCGCTCAACGAACGCCTCCGTCTCAGAAAGACCAGGACTCTGATCCCGGGTCATAACCACCTCCGACGACGCATAGATCGCCGCAACAGACAACCGCTTGGTATACCACGACGCATCAACCGAAGCATCACCAGCGAGAGTCAAGATCTCCGACGAAAGCGCATGCAACTCCGACAACGAAAGAGGGATATTACCCGCCAACGACATAAGCGCCAGAGCCTATAATAAATAAATAAAAATTGTCACAATCAGCCACAACCCATAACCAACAATCAGAATCATTGCGCCTCAATCCCCCGGGATAGATAACAGATATGAAACAGATAAGGAAGCACTTACATCCTGCCACTGATGTCTTATCTCAGTGTTCATTCTTAACCTCTCCATGATCAAGAGCTTCGTTTTCTCCTCTACGGACAATTTCAATCCGGCCTTCACCCGCTCATCCTTTTCGAAGAGTCCATTGTCCACGCTTGCGCGCAATAATCCTCGGCGACTTGCTAGCCAGAATAGAACCAGGTCGAACTCGCCGCGCGGGAGCAATTGCACCGAGACGTCCAGGAAGCCGCTATCGCGGGCGCCGAGGGTGAGGGCGTCGCGGGTGAAGCCGTGGGTCGGGACGTGGCGGAGTGCAGCGGAGAGGATGGTAGTTTGGGAGTTGGTATATTCGTGAGGCGGGGGGTCAGGGTGGTGTTCGGAGTGGTATGGCCGTCTGGTTGGTTGTGAAACAGGAGAGGATATGAGGTGCGTTGGAGTAGGGTGACGGCGGGCTGGTCGGGTTTGATGGTGGAGTTGGCGAGTGCATTGGGGGACTGTGGAGCGGGTGGTGCGGAGAGTGGTTAATTGGCGTTTGGAGGTTGAGAGGAGTGCCGCGTGGTAGCGGGTTAAATGGTGCGGTTGTGCCATGGTTATTGAGTGTTCGTGTTTGGATGTTTTGGTCGTTGCGATGGAGGGTTTGGATGTTGTCGGAACTTATCCTGTTGGATTTTCTCGGGTGGGCTTAAGCGGTGGCCTGAGCGGAGCCAAGATTGGAAGTTGACTGGAGTTAGGTTAAACCTCTTTATTGTCAGATGATGTACAATTGTGGGTTGCTTTCTGAGGTACCAGGGTTTTTGGGAATGTTAAATTCTGTCTTTTCTATTTGTTACTTTAATTTTGGAGATGGAGGGCTATTGGAATGATTGGATGTTCATGGATGTTCTTATCAGGTTTGACATGAGGGTTCAGTGTTATTGGAGGAATGAGTTCATGGCCAATTGCATGTATGTCTGCATGTGTGATCGACTGGTGATTGAGACCTAGTAGAATCTCTCGGATACACATTGATCTCCATGGGGTTATTCTAGGTTAATATAGTGTTGAATTAATTCATGATATATAGTCACTAGTTATAGACAGGCTTCAGGTGATTATCTAAGATCTAGAAGCCAAGGTTAAAGAATTCAATCACGAGTTATATAGCTGATTTCCTATTTGGGAACATCTTCCTATCGCATCTGATATGAGAACTCAATCTAGATAACAATGTATAAATATGGATGAGCGCAAAGAGATAAATATATATAGAACCTAGGAACAATGCTAAATGTTCAATTTGCATGTTGAGTCTCTAGTAGTATTAGTTACTGCCATTGCTCTGCAGAGTTTGATCCCAGTGATAGATGAGTGACATGGGTAGGAGATAAACGAGAATTAAATAATATCCATGGATGATCAATTGTTGATTTCATCAGGATGACAGTCAAGCGGCATCTTCATTTCATCTGCGATGGGGACGATGTTGAACGCATGATCACGGAGTCTCTTAATCGTTTGTCCCTGCCGCCTTTCATTACACGACCTCCGTCGGCATAAAATTAATGTAAGTCTCTGTCTCTTGCTTCTCTCCCTCTCCTCTCTTTCACCTCTCATTGTCTTAATTAATTTCCCCCTTCCTTTTCCCCAGTTCTTATTACCCACTCCCGCGTGGAAGTAACATTGACCGGTCAAGGAGAGTGAGAACAGACCGCAAAGAATATTAAGAAAGAAAAGCCAACTTGCAACCATCACCCCTGCCAATATTACAGTGTCGACTGAACTTTCCGGAGGTTCTCCGTTTTTTTTCATTTTCCAATCAATATTATTGATTTTTTTTAATTTGTTTTTCTATTTTTCCTTTTACTCTACTCCCCTTTTTTTTCTCTCTTCGTCCTTCTGATTTGCTCTGGAATCCGGTTTGGGTGTTGAGCATCCGCCCATTCAGCATCGACATTCTCCAGTGACAACAGTCCAGACCTTCCAGACAACTCAACAACTCCTCTCCTCCTCTCATTCTCCTTCCCCATTCTCTCCCCTCTTGATTGCAGCATCACAGACCATCATGGGTGGGTGACTTAATTCTTTTTCCTTTGGTGCTTTTTCTTTATTGGTATTTTCTTTTTATTAGCAGTATTATTTTCTGTTTTATCTCATGCATTTTCTTATCTGCATGATTCCATGACCGTTTGTTGGGTTTTGTTTTTTGGGGGTTTTTTTTTATCAGGATGATTACTATCATTCTGGGTTACTATCAAAACATCTCATCAACATCAGCACTCCCCATCCCCATGTCCTTATGCCACATTGTTTACATTCCCACTCCTTCTGTTTGTCTTGTAATCTAGAATGATGGGTTTCAATGGTTTTCTAGAACCCAATTGATCCTCCCATACCCACTTGAAGTCTGACACCTGCCATACTTGCCCTTGTTTCTCTCTCCCTCCCCTCCCCTTCTTGGCCGTTTGATAGCTACTGCACATCCGCGTCAGTCATGAAAGGTCACCTCACTTCCGGGCTTCCCACTACTGTAGGAACCGGCCGTGCCTTTTTTTGACTTTGTCCCTTTCCCCTCTTATGCCGTGCCTTGGACTAGTAGCCTTACTCTCCACCCATCATCGTCCACCCCCTCCCATCCCGGTCCCTAAGCCGGCTCCTCGGAGGTCGAAAGAAGGGTCAGTCCATCTAAACCTCTTCTGACTTATTTGATTACCCAAAGCTATCCACCGGGCAGAAAGGCCTGCATTTCGGTTTCCCACGGGAACACCAATCATACCGCGTGCTCCTTTCATCCTGTCCTCCCGAGTGAAGGTCTGACAAGACTGGACTGACTTGGACGGGCGCATCCCATTCGCATTCATTGCTTTCCTCGTTGCCCTATTTGTTTTTTTCTCCCTTTTGCTTTTCCTTTTCCTTTCCCTTTTTTTTTTTTTTTTTTTTTTTTAACCCTGCTCCTTTGCTTTTTTGTTCTTCCCTCACACCCCGCCGTTACCCTCCTTTACCTCTTCTCTCACACTCTCACAACCTCTTTCTCTCTTCTCTCCTTTCTCTCTTCTTACTCTAATCGTTCCTCTGTTTCTGAATCCCCCATCCGCGTCATCACTGGTATTTCTTTGTCTTCTTTGCTTTGATTTCCTCGTGTTCTGAGGATCGTCAAACTCGTTGCTTACGTTTAAGGTATAATCTGCAGCTGACGTTTATCGACCATATCAAGTAAGTATTGTCCCCTCCACACTCTTCGATCTTGCATCGTTTTGATATCACCTTCATGATGACGGCTCTATTCTTTTCTTTTTTCTTTTTTATTTCCCTATGATCGTCACTTTTCTCTTTTTTTTTGCCCTGCCCTATGTTGTTAAATTGTCTCGTTCTTGCGCAAGAACTGGTTCACCCAAGAAACCACAACCTATCCGTACCGGTTGGGGGGTGACCATGGGCTAGTGGAGGCTTCCAACTATACCAGCCGGTTTTGGGACGGGGGACGTTTGGGCTCCAGATATCACCCACTTTGGTGTCCTAAAGCAACATAAAGCAATCACATCGGATGTTTTTGTTCTCATTCCTTTGATGTCTTCTTTTTTTTTTTTTTTTTTTTCCTGTTGTTGTTTTCCAACCCAACAATCAGAAGAGAAAGACACCCTGGTGGCAGTGCATTAGCTTCAGGTCTGAAGGACACTCCCCACCTGTCTCGCGGGTCCCGTCCTCCGGGTCCTCCATTCACCATTCTTACTCCATTGCTTTGTTAAGCGCCCCGTCCCCGTCCTCGGCCACGTCACCTGACCTGGCTTTCTCCTCTCCCGGAATTCAATGGGTGTGAAGGCTGCCTTCGGTCCCAAGGTGTCGGAACACCCAATTGCAACCCTGGAAAGCCACCGCGCAGATCTCGTTCTCCATTCACTCGCCGTCATCCTTTTCTAGCCATTCCTATCCCTTTTTCTTTCTTTTCCTTTTTCTTCGCTTTTCCTCCTCCCACCTGTGTCGATGCCGGCCGATTACTACGATACTGACCACGCGCAGCGCGAGAGGTCTCGTTCACCCCGTCGTCGTTCGCGCAGCCCTCGACGTAGCCGTCGCTCCTATTCGCCTCGGAGTCGCTCTCGGAGTCGTGACGATTATCGCCGCAGTGAACGCCGTTCCCGGTCGCCTATGAGTACTGCACCAGGCGCCTCTGGGGGACATTCCGGTTCTGGTTACGGTGGACGCAGCAGCTACCCGCCTCCTCCGAGATCGTTTGAGGACCGCGCTGTCGCCAAAGAACAAATGATGCAATCAGTGCGCGAGTCTTCCCAACAAGACCGTCGGGTCTATGTGGGAAACCTTTCCTACGATGTCAAGTGGCATCACTTGAAAGACTTTATGAGACAGGGTGAGCAGGGTCATATTGTGTCGGATGCGTGATGCGCTTTTTGTTGGATTGGAATCCGTGGCTGACTTGGAGGGGGACTATCTTTCCGCGCCGTACAGCTGGTGAGGTCATCTTTGCCGACGTCTTATTACTTCCCAATGGAATGTCGAAGGTGGGCGCCAATGCGTAGTGTGGCTGGTTCCTTTTCCCCTTTGTGTTTCTGGCTTTTTTCTCCATTTCCCCTGTTGGTTTGTTTTGATGGACTGTTTGGGTTGACGGGCTGGGCCTGGCCGTCCGGGATACTGTAGGGATGCGGGTAGGTTTCTGCACGACGCCCCATTACGTTCACCGGAAGGCATTACTGATCGTCGATTAGGATTGTGGAATACGCGACCAGGGAGCAAGCGCAAAATGCGGTCAACACGCTCAGCAACCAGAACCTTATGGGTCGTCTAGTTTACGTTCGCGAGGTATGTCGAGCCCTTGAAGGCCTCCACAGCGGGCTCTCCCATGTGCTGACAGATCTCAGGACCGTGAACCCGAACCTCGTTTCACCGGTGGCCCTTCTCGTGGGGATTTCGGCGGCGGCGGCGGTGGCCGCGGCGGTTTTGGTGGTGGTTACGGCGGTGGAGCTGGTGGAAGACAGCTCTACGTGTCCAATGTTTGTTGTCCCCTCTTCGTACCTTGGAAGTAATGCGAGATCACGTACGGCAAAGATATTGACTTAGGCACGTTTAGCTTCCATTCAATGTTGGCTGGCAGGACCTGAAGGATCTTTTCCGCCAAGCAGGTAAGTGCAATACAGAGGCTTCCCTCCAAACGGCTTCGTTTGCCCACCTTCACTCCCATTCTATATCCGGAATTTGAATCCGTGATTGACCCAAGAACACTTTACAGCTCAGCAAGGCGCCGTCATCCGTGCCGATGTTCACACCGATGCCACTGGACGCCCCAAGGGTTCCGGCATTGTCGCCTTTGAATCCCCTGATGATGCCCGTAATGCTATCCAGCAGTTCAATGGCTACGACTGGCAGGGTCGGGCTTTGGAGGTTCGTGAGGATCGCTTTGCCGGTGCCGGACCGGGCGGATTTGGAGGCCGCGGTGGCTTCGGTGGTGGCTTTGGCCGTGGTGGATTCGGTGGTCGTGGCGGCTTCGGCGGTGGCCGTGGCGGCTTTGGCGGATTCGGAGGTCGTGGTGGCTACGGTGGTGGCTACGGTGGTCCTGGTGGTCCGGGTGGTCCGGGTGGTCCGGGTGGTGGTGGTGGTGGTGGTGGCCCTGGCTTCGAGGGTGTCCCTTCGGTGCCCCCCAACCCGTTCACGGACTTTGCAACCTCCGGAGGCGAGAAGGGCCCTGTTATCTATGTCCGCAACGTAAGCTTCCTTTCGCACTCAACTATCATCGTGGATCTGTGTACTGATGTGTGGTCATCATAGCTGCCCTGGTCTACCTGCAACGAAGATCTGGTCGACCTGTTCTCGACTATTGGAAAGGTAGATCGTGCGGAGATTCAGTATGAGCCCAATGGTCGCTCTCGCGGCACGGGTGTGGTCCAGTTTGACAACGCAGAAACTGCAGAAACTGCGATTGGTATGTTTCTTGGCTGCATCTTCCAATGCACACACTGACGTTCGTATAGCCAAGTTCACCGGTTATCAATACGGTGGCCGTCCGCTCGGCATCACTTTCGTCAAGTACATGAATGCAGGTGCTGGCCCCGGAGACGCCATGGAGGGTGCCGAGCCCACTGGCGGTATCACACAAGACCAGATCATGTAATAGTATCGTATTCTTTCCTCCTTTCGACGGACCGATGAGGTCGAAAAGTTTGCGATGTAATTACTCCCCGGTCAAATGATTCCATGACCAAATATTCGTGTGGACGCGATGATGCTATTCTACCGTTTTTGATGCCTCTGCTTTTGTCTTGTTTGTTTTCTTCTCTGGCGATCTGGTTCTGTGGGACAAATCGGACCTTGATTCTGCTTGCTTTATGTTCTTCGGGTGAGTTTGTGATTGATCATGGTCTGGCTTTGCTCTGTATCCCACAGCTTGGGTGGGGTTTCCACTAGAAGATTTCGGTTCTGGAGAGGCTCCTTACTTCATTTTCGAGTTGGCTTTGGTAGAAATTGCAATACCCGGTCGTTTAGTGTTACGCCAATGCCAATATTCTCGCCGTTCGCGGTCTTAGTTTTTTTCCAATTAATCGTTCACATTACCCCTGCTATCATCTGGCATTTGCCATCATTATATATTTCAAAAGGCACTGCTGGAACCTACGTAAGTGCGTCACAAGGGCGCCTTAGTACATTGGAGAAAGCCTCCTAATCCATATACGTACAAGGTATATAAAGTACATAAGGCTGGTATACCGCGGAAGCATGCAACAAAGCTAGTAAGACTGTTACTTCCTATACACTTCCAATCTCTGCATAGACCATGATAGACTCGGGTTTAGTTTCGGTACTCCATATCAGTGATATCGTCTGCAGAACCCGTGGATGTATCTATCCTCCCCTCAAGCCATTGGAATATATCAAGCACATACCACTTTATTTTGTCTACAAGTTTGAAGTAATTTTGAACTGCTTACGTCCTAGATTTCCGACCAAATGACCATAGAACTTCATCCCAACGTAATGATATTTCACGCATAACCTAAAATTTTCTTTTTATAACTCATAGTCACTCATTGAACAAAGCGCAAAGCAAATCAACCGATCTAGTAATTCGATCGCATAAAAGCCAAAACTGAAGCATCGCATTCGAATATCCGTCTCTGGATCTTCGATTAGAAAGACAAAAATGAACTCGAACTTGAGGGTAAACGAAAAAACGCCCGCGGAATAACAGAAAGGGGGAATATAATATGATACAGACGAAGAGGAATATTGATGAACCTGAAACTCAAGCGAGACGAGACAAAAAGGAAATTCGAACAAAGGAAATCACATAACCCCATAACATAACCACGCACCCCTGTCCCCTGAGACCTATGAAACCCTTGACCCACGCCCTAACTTGTGAATTCCGTGGATACTGATCCTGTGCCTGGTACCTGTACGCCTGCTTATCCGATCATGTGTCCAACCTTGTGGACTCAAAACGCCAGAAATGATCATTCTTTGTGTTTTCTTCATGCATGGGAAAACTGATTGATCAAAAAAAAAAAAAAAAAGAAAAAAAGAAAAAGAAAAAAAAAAGACGCAGACTGTAACAAGGGAGTGAATGAGCGTGTATGTCATGAGACACACATGCTACTGGTCGGTAGTTGTAAAAATATTTACAGAAGAATTGAAATGTGACAGGTGAGATCAGCTCACCTGCCGGTGGAACCAGCTGTATTGGCCATCCAAGCATCTATGCTGGGACGTTGGCTGGTGGGTAGTGACCCGGAATCTTGAGCTCGAGGGTGGACACGCTGTTTTTGGTCTGAGCGGGGGGACGCCTGCCCTCGTTCGACTCGACGACGCCTGAACCAGGAGCGTTGATGGGCACTGCCGTGGCTGATGAAGCTGTACGGACAGAGGGAGGTCCTTGTCCTTTGTTCCAGCTATCAGTCATAGGTATATCGTGCCTTTGTGAGATTGATTCCGGTCTCTCATCTATCGAGGTGGGGACAGTGTTGAGAGTGTGATCTGTCACATTTGTAGTGGTAGGCACAGTTGAGGTGCTTTCGCCCCGATTTCTCTGTCGTGTCAGAGAGTTATCACGAGAATTGGTTGTCTTCAATCCTGCAATCAAGTTGGGAGCCATATGACCTCTCTCAAATCCGGTAGTATCTTGAGTGTTATCATAGATTTGCTGAGCCTGCGTTTGCTTCTGATGGCCGGCCGTGTTCATCCAAGCGCCATAATAGCTGTCGTGTCTCTCGAACGGTTGGCGCGAGGCTTCACCCACCTGACTTGAAGGCTGCACCTGGTCTATATCCATGTCGCGTTCAGATATGGAGTGGCGTGTGCTTTGGAGAGGGGACTTGGCATCAGGCAATGATCCGGCGGCGGCCGCCAACAGATCTCGCTCGCCGGAGCTCTCTCCACTTGACGGCGACAGTGGGGCCTGTAAATGGCGGTCTATGTGCACATCACTGGGGAAACGGCCGCCCGGTTCACGCGGTTGAGATGCTGGGCGTTCTTGGTTTAAAACCACTGATCCTGCCGAGTAAGGTGTGCGATCCGCTTCATCCTCATCCATAACCCTATCACTGCTTGTGGACGTTCGCCCGTAACTTGCACCACTTACAGTGCGCACATGTCTCCTGACAAACGCATTCCTTGCTTCACCAGTCTTGGAGATCAGGCTTTCGACGTCTTCGTACCACGCCTTCATCGTCTCGTGCGACTCGGCACGGAAGACCCATGAGTGGCCTCGGTGCATCGTTCCCGTTTGTCGCCCTTTCAACATGAATTTATGAGAGGTGGAGTCCGGCTGCGAATGAGAACCAAGCTTTTGCTCCGGGAGATACAGGGACATCACGGGTGTCTGCCATGCCACTCGGTCGGCTGACTTGAACTCATGAAGATGAGTCGGAGACAAGACATACCTGTGTTGAGTTAGTGACAAGAACAACGTCGAGAAGGGAACGACGGGACCCACCAGCCAGGCGTGTAGCTCTTGAGATATTTGCTCTTACGTTCGAGCATACCGGATCTGACCTCTACAGCGGCGGGATGGTCTTTACCAGGGTAAGAGATATTCTCTACGTCCCGAAGCGGAACTCGTGGATCGACTAGCTCGTCGGTCTCTGCGATGAACGAGTTCCACTCGTGGTCGTGTGGCATCGAGATGGGCCCTGCTCGAAGCTTCTCCGCCGCATCGTACGCCTCGTCGGCTTCCCGTGTGAGGATATTGGCGTAAGTTTTGTACGCCTTCTGAATTTCGCTAACCACAATGGATTCCAATTCGCGACCAGAGTTTTCCAAGTTCAAAAACGCCTGCATCAACATGTTAGCAATTATATGTCAATGTTACCCTTCATGTTGGGGCCCATACCCTATGCAAATAGTTTTCTTCTTCAATCTGCTTTTCAATCTGCTTGTCGACACTCAAACGGACGATAAACGGGTCCCCTTTTCCCGCCGTGGCCGCTGGATCCGTGTCGACCAGGCCTAGGGCTTCATGTAGATGACGGATCGATTTGCGGGTGGCGTCGACTTCCTTATCTACCGAGTTTCGAAAATCGCCCGAAAGGCTCCTGATCTCCTTGGTTTTCTTTTGCAGGTCGTTTCGGAGTCCCATTAGCTGAGCGACCAACTCGTTTTCCACCTCAGCAGCTTTGCTCGCTTCCTGATACGCCTGTTTATGGAAATTCCGCAAAATATCGGTCGCATCTGCAAGGCCGCCGGATTTGAGAAACGTGGGGGGCAACGCGGAATTGTTGATGATATTTGACGCCGACATGAACAGCTTGGATCGAGTTTCGTAGGATTTCTGGAGTTCTTTAAAGAACACAATGAGATCCTTGAGGACCTTGCGCCAAGCTGATGTATGTCAGAAACACAGATTCCTGTGTACAAAGGGTACACAGCTGTGCTGTGCTACAGGAAAAGCCTTACCTTGAAAGCGATCTGCCAAAACCTCCGTGGGGTTCCCATTCGTAGGAACAGGGATGTAGAATGCGCTATTCTGATCTTCGACGCCGTCGACGCTATACTTCTCCTTATCGCCCAAGACTAGACTCCGGACACTTCCGGCGCGCAGGCTCCTCTTACTCCCGCTGCGTCGCATACTGCCTCTCTTGCTGAGGGAGGACTTTTTTTTCAAAGTACCGGATCGCGTGGGTGTCGCGGAACGGGAGTTGGACATCTGAGATGCGGAACGCTGTACGGCGGCGGCTGACGGGCCTTCGAAAACGACGGAACCACGTTGGCTGGCGACATCGAACTCCTCATGAAATCGACCGTTATGAGTGACCGGGGGCTCCGCGACAGCACCAGAAGCAAGGTTGTAGCCGGAGTTGGAGGCTATAAAGGAATTTGGTCTAGAGGCGGACCGCGAGCCATATCCCTGACCTGAGAATATGGAATGTGCGGGCTGTGAGATGGCGCCGTAAGTGTCCTGCAGAGGTGTCTGCGACCGGACCACTGTGGCCATGATTGATAGGGTAGAAGAAGAAGAGGAGGAGGAGGGGGGAGGGGGCGGCGGCGAATGGCTTTCAACAAGGCGAGCAATTGGGCGGTGCAAACCAGGCCCGTGATCAAGAAAAGAGTGTGCCTAAAGTCCGACGGATGGTCGATGCGGGCCGAGAATTTTGGTGAGAAGTATAACCAGAGACGTATGTATGGATGTATATGTATGGAGTAGTGTTCAAGAGGTGTCGCTTTTCTAGAAGACAAAAAGAAGGGGAATAGGAGATAATGATCAACCAGAGAAAGTAAAAAAAGAAAACCTATATGAGATTTGAGGAATAAAAAAAGAAAAAAAAAAAAAAAAGGATGGATTTCAATAA